ATGTGGTGGCAGAGCAACTATAAAAGCACTAGAATATCACAATGATACAATGATACAAGGATATATGTAAATTGAAAATAGAACTTACCAATTTTAGGTGATTTAACCCTTTAAAATCAGGCTTGTTATTCCCAAAGTGTTGCAAAACTTCTTCTCTAGCTCGCGCTTGCCAGTTTGGATGCCTACTCAATAAGACCATTGTCCATACAAGCATCACTGAGGTGGTCTCCTGCCCCGCAAAATAGAACAGCTTGCATTCTTCAATAACATCTCCAATAGTCATGCCAAAATCCTTGTTGCCGTGATCATCAATTTCTTTAGAATTGGATTCGAGTAATATACCCAATAAGTCATCAGCACAAGCTTCCCCTTCTTTCATTGCCTTCAATCTTGCATTTATAATTTCTCTAATAGATTCTTGAACATCTTTGGCAATTTGTTTCATTCTTCTATTTAATTTGGTTGGCAAAAACCTGAAAAGAATATAGTTTCACAAACAAGCAACAAAAGCTTGTATATCGGACCTTCATTTACTGGGTAAAGGGATCTTTTCCAAGCAATGGCATCGAATTTAGAAGTCAAAAGTTTCTTCAGAGCAAAGAAGGCAGTGAGTTAACACAATTTACCTCCACCCTGGAATGTATACTGATTCTACAGCCTTTAGGAAATGTTCAGCCTGTTCCCTTTGAAGTTCAAATATCCTTTTTCCTTCTTGATAGTTACTTCCAAATGCCGTCCGTGAAATGGCATCAGAAGTCAGAGTTTGAATGTCCGGCCAAACATCCAACTCACAGGAGCCATTGGTCGAAACAATCGCCTCCCATTTGTCCAACATCTCACTAGCACTTGCATAAAATGAAGGGACCATGTGCTACAGGCAAGAACACGGGAAAACGAAAAAGAGGTCATGTACAATGCTACTCCTCCAGTAAGAATTCTCAGTTCATTTTGTAAATTAGGTATCATATTTGTTTTTGCTTTTCCTGTAATCAGATAGCTTACCACTTCATTATGGTGAACGCATTCATTCCAATGAACTAATCAAAGTTTCCAAGATTTCTGGTATGACGACAACCTTACCTTGTTGCTCTTATTAAGAGATGAAGTAATAATTCATTAAATACCCAGAAAAAATTAGAGAAAACCTTCAATTTCTCCACATGGAAAGCGGGAGTGATGAGTTTTCTGTGTTTAGCCCATTTATCTCCATCATAGCTCACCAGCCCTGTTGCCAGCAATTTGGTCAATGGATTAGCAGGAGCTTTTTGAAAGATGTAAAGCTTTGTTGTGATCTCCCTTATGTGTTCAGGGTTCAAGATCAGCACCATCGGTTTTGGTCCATGCCATATGTATGTATTCTCACCTGAGAGTCATTCACCACTTGTTTCAACTCAGGATTAAACAAATATCTTAAATCAATCAAGGGTACCTAGAACTGCTATCTTTATCTGTTCTTTTTTTAAAATCATTTAACAAGATGGATACGTTGGAAACGAGATATTGGAGGGTACTTGACCTTATGAACTCCTGCCAGTACCTGAAAATCAGACGGCATGCTATACAGTAGATAAACTGGACTCCTTGGATTAATTGTGATCATAATATTTAGTTCTGATCATCCTAACCAATCACTCAAGAAGATATAAAGGCCTCATTTATTTTCGAATACTACTCGGCATTGCTATCTATTTGATTCACCATGTTTGAGGTTTACATTAATCATGAGAAGATTGAGGCTTCCTGTTGTACTACAGTGTCATTGAGTTTGAACTCTTGAGACTGGAAAGTGGACAAGCAACCTAATTTAGAATAATTTGTCCAGATTGGCACATCCACTGATCCACCCATTTGTATTCATATGCCAAGGTTCAACTCTCGTTGCTCTAATTTGCACTATTTGCTCTGCAATCTCCTTCATGTACTCAAAACAGGGGGGAAAAGAAAATTTCTTGCTAAAAAAAGCTGTCTCATTTACTGAATAGTGAAAACAGATTAGTATCCACTATTGCATTATTTGCCATATCAAAAATAAGATAGAACTATCCTTATGAAATGCTTCCAGACTGAAAGCGATACTGTTTTGTGTGTAAGGTGTAATGATGACTCTGCAATCTCCTTCATGTACTCAAAACAGGGGGAAAAAGAAAATTTCTTGCTAAAAAAAGCTGCCTCATTGCAAGGCAAATTGAAGTAAGGAATCTTGAAAGGTAAATTGCAATCATTGAAGAAATCCATGAACACTTGCAAAGAAAGCATCGGACGATTGAAAAAGATGATACTACTACTTACCATACTTCTTGACAGCTGCACAGAAGTGAGGAATAACTCTCGGGATGAAGTCTTCAGAGACATTGATTGGCTTGGAGTGAGCTTCCTTAAAGTGGGTTGCGATCTCTTTGAAGTCTCCATAGAGAAGTTTGTAAGGATTTCCTCTGAGCCCTTGCTCCTTCAGCCGCTTTTCCAGCTTCTTCGGAGTTAACCACGCCCACTTGAACGCTCTCCATGCAAGCACTGAAATCAAGAGCAGAATACAAGAAGAGAACACAGCAATTGGGCTGTATGCTATCTCCATTACAGAGGCGTAGTTAAAGGTTTATTGTGATCATCTGCTCTTGCATTCATATTTATAGCTGAAAGTTATCGGAAAGTCCGAGAAAAGTTGTCTTCGTGTTGTCCCAGAATTCAGTTTTAGAGAGCAAGTTACTCTTTAGTCACTAGTTGTTTAACGACTCACGCAACTTTCCTATAATTATAATTTTAAGAACTATACATAACTCACATATTTTGGATTAAAAGTATCAAAATCATGCAAATTATTATTGTTATTATTAATTTTATGCTAGAGTCAGTTGAAACCTCAAGACTAATCTCAAGTCATGACGGAAGTTTTTTGTAAAGCATGTAGGGTTTATGCATAGCTTTAAAAGTTATAGGAAGTGCATGAAAAAAAGAATTACACTACTGGAGACTAAAGTGTAATTCATCTTATATTTATACATCTTGAGTATTGAAGTAATTTTAGCTTTTGCATAGGGGTTATACTGATAATTTTAGCTTCCGTTGTTACATATGACGGTTTTCATGATTATAGTTCAAATTGTAAAGTAGTTATATATTAACATTTGAAATCATATAAAAGGTAAGAAAAAAAAGTGAAACTATTAATGGCTAAAATAATATAATTTATCTTAAATTTAAAACTTTGTGGCGACAAAGAATGGGTAAATAAAAATAGTAAAGGAATGGACGGTCATTCTGATGACCGTCCCTGAACAGTTAATGGCCATGATTTGGCTAAAAAATTTTGTGCGGTTCAAATCACAAGTTGTGCGTCAATTTTAATACCGCGTGTGGGGCCCGCAAAATTTTGTACTAAAGTTATACGTTGTGCAAACAAAATTACTCCATGTGCAACCAAAGTTACGCGCCGTTGAAAATAGCCAAAATCACTGTGAATGGTTACACCTATAATCGTCCGTGCCCCTTGTCCAAGGTTGAGGCATTATCTGGGAGTTTGTGACAAAAAAATAAATAAATACAGCTTTTAAAAATTATTATAATTTTGGAAAGGAGCCTAGAGAGAAAACTTGGAAGCCAAAATTTGGACTTTCGTCTGCATTCTAAAAATCTAGGTTTTCCTTGAAAAATACCGCCAATGGGTGCGTACGCACCTGTTTGAATCAGTTGTGGTTCAGTTTCTTTCGAGTTTCCGTTTGACCTCTTTATGTCCCTCTTCCCCCTAGTATCAATGTTTTGAAACTCGAACCGGTCATTGACTCGATCGAGATTAGGGGTCAATGGGTTTGACCCTAATTGAATCCATCTAAGAATCAGATGATGTCATAAATGTAGACACCAAATTTTTGCTAATTTTTTATATTTTCTTGAATTTTGTTGATTTCATGCATCATTTACTTTTGTGCACTTTAATGTGAATTTTCTTGTTTTGTAGGTTTATTTTAAAAAAAGAAAGGAGAGAGAAAAGAGGAAAATAAAGAAAAATTAAAAAGAGAAGAAGAAAAAGAAAAAATCTCTAATCATTTTTTTTTTCAAACTAATACACCATTCACCCAATTTAATACTCCACCTCTCTTCCCTCTTTTCTCCGGGTACAAAATTCATCATTTTTTTACCAACAGCTTCACAACAACTCCAACCAACGCTTCTTTCTCAATTCACTCTCTTAGTTCTTTCTTTGGCTCTCAATTCACAAGTAACAAAAAAAAAAGAGTAATTTTATTTATATCGACAGTGTATGTACTATCACGTTAGATACACGACACATAAATAAAATTTGAGTTTCAAATTTAAATTTAAATTATATATCATGCATCTAATGGTGAAAGTATATACACTATTAGTGAATAAAAGATTAATTTAAAAAAAAAAAAAAAAAAGAAGAGGAAAGCAACTTTCCCTCAATTCCCTCTCCCTCTCGGATCTCCTTTCCCCCCTTCCCCTCTTAATTTTTCCGCCATCACACACTCTCACAAAACTCTCTCTCGGTTCAGTTTGCACGCACAAGCACACCAAGCACAAAAACTCTATCAATTTCAAAACAACTCACCAACTTTTTCCTCCCCCCAACTCTCTCTCGGCTCTCCCTCAAATTTTCACACCTCACACTCCAACAACCTCCAACTCCCTTTCTCTTCCTCTCTGCTCTCTCACTCCCTCCCTCTACACATATTCATCCGTAAACCAAACACAGAAGAGTATCCTTTCCGTTTTCCCGTGATGTTGAGCAAATAAGCAACAAACACGCATTTAATATAATTAATTAAAAGAAGAAAAGCTTAAAAAAAATACATCAATGAAAGTTGTAGTCCGTTGCCAAAGTTTTTGATGGGACCATGTGCTACAGGCAACAACACGGAAACGAAATGGAGGTCATGTACAATGCTACTCCTACTCCTCCAGTAAGAATTCTCAGTTCATTCTGTCAACTAGGTATCATATTTGTTTTTGCTTTTCCTGTAATCGGATACTTTACCACTTCATCACAGGGAACTCATTGGTTCCAATGGACCAGGGGCAGTAACGGTAACCGTTCCTGGCAACTACGTGCATTTTACACACGGTGTAACTTACTTTTAACAACGTGTAACTTTAGAACAAAATTTGTGGGTCCCACATTTGTTGTTAAATCGAGATACAAGATGAAATCTGGACCGTACAAATTTTTTTGGCCAAATCTTGGCCACTCCTGCCCCTCTTCCGGTTCCAATGAACTAATCAAAGTTTCCAAGGTTTCTGGTATGACAGCCTTACCTTGTAGATCTTATAAAAGATGAAGTGATAATTCATTAAATACCCAGAGAAAATTAGAGAAAACCTTCAATTTCTCCACATGGAAAGCAGGAGTGATAAGTTTTCTGTGTTTAGCCCATTTATCTCCATCATAGCTGACCAGCCCTTGTGCCAGCAATTTGATAAGTGGATTAGCATGAGGCTTTTGAAAGATGTAAAGCTTTGTTGTGATCTCCCTTGTGTGTTCAGGGTTCATGATCACCACCATCGGGTGTGGTCCAAGCCACACGCATGTATTCTTACCTGAGAATCATTCACCACTTATTTCATTAAACAAACATCTTAAATCAATCAAGGGTGCTTAGTACTGCTATCTTTATCCGTTTCTTATATCATTTAACAGAATGGATATATTGGAACCAAGATACTGGAGGGTACTTCACCTTATGAACTCCTGCCGGTACCTGAATATCAGACAGCAATGTATACAAGAAGCACGATTAAAAGAAATGCATTACTGCCAATTGGACTCCTTGGATTAATTGTGATCATAATATTTAGTCCTGATCATCTTAACCAATCACTCAAGAAGATATAAAGGCGTCATTTATTTTCGATTTGATTCACCATGTTTGAGGTTTACATTAATCATGAGAAGATTGATTCTTCCGGTAGTACTGGAGTATCATTGAGTTTAAACTCTCGAGACTGGAAAGTCGACAAGCAACCTAATTTAGAATAATTTGTCCAGATTGGCACATCCACCCATTTGTATTCATATGCCAAGGTTCAACTCTCGTTGCTCTAATTTGCACTATTTGCTCTGCAATTTCTTGCTAAAAAAAGCTGTCTCATTTATTGAATAGTGAAAACAGATTGGTATCCACTATTGCATTATTTGCCATATCAAACATAAGATAGAACTATCCTTAGGAAATGCTTCCAGACTGATAAAAAGAAAGGTGTAATGATGACCCTGCAATCTCCTTCATGTACTCAAAACAGGGGGAAAAAGAAAATTTCTTGTTAAAAAAAGTTGTCTCGTTGCAAGGTAAATTGAAATGAGGAATCTTGAAAGGTAAATTGCAATCATTGAAGAAAACCATGAACACTTGCAAAGAAAGCATCGGATGATCGAAAAAGATGATACTACTACTTACCATACTTCTTGACAGCTTTACAGAAGTGAGGAATGACTCTTGGGACGAAGTCCTCAGAGAGATTGACTGGCTTGGAGTGAGCTTCCTCGAAGAGGGTTGAGGTCTCTTTGAAGTCTTCATAGAGAAGTTTGCAAGGATTTCCTCCGAGGCCTTGCTCTTTCAGCCGCTTTTCCAGCTTCTTGGGAGTTAACCACACCCAGTCGAATGCTTTCCATGTAAGCACTAAAATCAAGAGCAGAACGCAAGAAGAGAATACAGCAATTGGGCTGTATGCTATCTCCATTACAGAGGCGCAGTTAAAGGTTTAATTTTGAGCATCTGCTCTTGCATTCATATTTATATCGGGAAGTCCACGTAGAGTCATCTTCATGATGTCCCAGAATTCATCAGTTTTAGAGCAAGTTACTCTTTAGCCCTAGTTGTTTAATGATTCACGTAACTTTCCTATAATTTTAAAAGCTATACATAACTCTCAAATTTTGGATTAAAGTATGTTCGGGGGTTAATATCTTTAATGCTAGCGGTCCCAGAAAAGGGGCGTCAATCGTTCATATTGGTCATTCCGGTTTCCCCTGAGACTTCAATTCAAACTTCCAATGAGCCTTCAATACTATGAGCTTATGAGGTTATCTTTTATCCAAAATGTTGCAGATTCTAATTGCACTTTTATTTTGTAAAATCAAACACCCCTGCCGGGCTAAGTCTGCCGCCCTGTAGGGGACAACGTTTCAAAAAAAAAAATGCTAAGTTGCTGCAGGCTTCCTTTTTTTTTTTTTAAAGAATCACCCAGCCCGGTAGGGGACAACATTCATAACATTCAATTTACCTAGCACCCTAAGATTATTGATTACCCTTGAAACTGGTTCTGAGCAACAGGAAACCCGGAGAGGGAGCAGATTAAGACTCGGGCAGAAACTTTTGAACAATTTTCTGAAAAAATCGTTAAATTTCAAAATGCAAGAACATTACACTGCCTGGCAGTTCTAGACAAACAAAAGTAATAACGGGATTTAACTAAATGTGGAATTTCGATTTATGTATTCAATCTATAGCTTGTGCAAAATCAAGGGAGCACCGTACTCTGGTTCAAGACGGGAGCATGTGAATAGGATGGTGAAAGTTCGAAGGAAAAGCGTTGCGGAATCATTGTCAGCACCAGCTTAGCTTCCAGCATAGCATAACTTTGACCAATCCGAGTCCGAGGTGTTGGAGATTATCCAAAGAAATGAAAGGTTATAAGGAGACTGTTTATATAAGTGTAAAGTGTTGCGTATCGTTGTAGCACCCTCACAATTGATGTAACTACTTTAATAGTGAAGGGTTATCACTTTGATGGTTGTAACTAATCTGTAACATACATCTCCTATTCTATAAAGAGATCAATTGAGAGGTAATTTGCTGCAAAAAACCATCCCATCAATACTAGATATTCTGTAAAAGTTCATCAATACTTGAAGCCATGCATCTAGCGTGCTTGAATTCTGCCTCGGTAGTTTAATTGCACCTCCTCATTGATTTTAAGGACGAATGCAGAAAAGCAATACGAAAACCTCTTCATCAATTTGGAAACTTCCTAAGAAGTCCTTTAACTCCAATAAATGATTAAGGATGACTCGAAGCAATGAATATACATACATACATACTGAAGAGGTGATTTTCGGTTAAACGAGCTGCACCAGACTACTGAAGTGATCTCCTGCAGTGAGTACGGTCTCACGAAAGTCACCTGCTCAAATTATAAAAGGTGGGGCTGAATCCCTCAGTTTTCCTCTGACGATCTAGTTAGCGCAGAGAGGAGTGGAAATTAAGGGAGTTTTTTAGAGAGTGGTTCTTACAGAGTATTTTTTTTCTCCTTTCCTCAGTGACAAATCCGGATATTTATATGGGACAATTTGAAGGGAAGGACGGTAGGATCCAACTTCCTGGGACTGACAAACTGAGCATGTCAGTCTGACTTGATAGATTAGTGCAAGGGACAGGTCTTGTCAGATGTCCTGTCTTTCTGTGTGTGTTAGTCTGTGGCCCAACTTCAGCTGTCCCATCAGGCACAGTGATACTTCAGGATAGTAGTCGTGGGGGCTGAGGTAATCGGGATGTACAAGTGGCACCCCGTGTGCACCGGCCTCAGCTCGTTATGACGAGGCCGAGGTGACCATTACTAGAACCCTTTGCGGGAAATGGAGCTCGGCTAGGCGAAGCCGAGCTGAAATGACCATCCTCACATACTAAAAAAGTCCTTTAACTTCCTATAAATGTATGTATGTATGTATGTTGAGGATGGTCGTTTCGACCCGGATAGTCCGGGGCTTCACCCTAATACTTCTGGAAGTGCCGCCTCGGCCATCTATTTAGCGAAGTGATTTTGACCCGTTTATCACCTCGGCTAGAATCCTCAGGTCATGAGCCGAAGTGATGCCTAAGCGTCTGACAACTGTAAAAAGGTGAGATGTGACCCCTGATACAGCTGACACCTGACGAAAAGCTGCTCTGACACACGACGTCTGGATCTGGCAACTATCCCGACGCGTCTTTTCACAAGGACCAGTCAAATCAACTTGATACACTGACCATCTCAGATTTCTAGGGACCTATGCTGGCAGCCCCTCTTTCCTATCCGTCCCCTATAAATACCCAACACTTCTACTGAGAAAGGAGATGACCAATTTCGGGTAACACAAGCTATATCGATTCTTTCAATTACTATATCACTTCTTCGATACTGAACTAACTAAAGTTTCGGAGTTATACAGGGGGATTTAACCCCTCTTGCAAATAAAACAGGTGATCTCGTTGCTGTGATTTATCCGGGCCAGAATACTTCTTGGACCCAGGAGAGCCACTCCAGCTGGGCAGAAAACACCTCTTCAATTTATATGCACAAAAAATAAAAAAGAGAAGTCTTGAATGGTAAATTGCAATCTTTGAAGAAATCCGTGACCTCTCGTAAAGAAAGCATCAGATGATTGGAAAAGAAGATTTTACTGCTTATCAAATTTCCTAATAGCTGCACAAAAATTAGGAATAACTCATGGGACGAAGTCATCGGTGAGGTTGATTGGCTTGGAATGAGGTTCCTCCAAATGTCTTTGAAGTCTTCATAGCGAAGTTTGTAAGGATTTCCTCTTGAGACATTGCCCTTTCAGCCGCTTCTCCAGCTTCTTGGGACTTAACCACATCCAGTTGAATACTTTCCAAGCTAGCACTGAAATCAAAAGCTGAATACAAGAAAAAAACTATTGGGCTTTCATTCGTGTTCTACAGGTATCAAATTTATGATGATAAAGACAACGGAGAAAATTTTAATAGATGGCAATGTGGCACATATTTTTAATGTTAATCATCTGCAAATTATACTTCTTTTTTAAAATGGCATAATGGTAGGGTTTTTTTTTTTTTTTTGTGATTTTAGAAAAGGGAAATGGAAGAAAATTTAGGAGCAAATTTTTGGGCTTTCATTGTTCTAGAAATATCAAAGTTATGATGATAAAGAAAAAAATGGAGAAAATTTTATTAGGTACCCCAATTGCGCGGTTATGATTTGGTACAATTGTATTTATTTGTGGTACTTGTAACAAGATATAGTGTACATTTACATAAACTTTTGCATTTCCTTCAATATTTCGTGTAAATAAACAAAATTCACACTTTTGACCAAAAATTGTCTACCTTGTGTCAATAAAATCCGAAAGTTAAACTACAAAATTGTGGCTTAAATGCTTTGGACTCGCATCTTTATCAAACTACTCATTTCTTTCAATTGTTTTCATTTATCTCCTCATCACACAATTTAGAATTTCAATTGAAAAGAAAACCTGAAATTTCTCCCTTTTGTCTTCTCTCCTTTCCCATCACCGCATTCAGCTTATGCAGCTTTTCGTTGATTCATTTTGTAGCTAAAATAATTTTATTTGGCTGGAGTCTAATGCTGATTTTGTCTGAAGATATCTTACGCTCATATGGAGGATTCGAAGATTAATAGCAAATAATTTTTCTTTAGTTTTAACGATAAGATTGGACGACTCTCCGGATGTTTGTACGCGATAAAAGTTTCAATTTATGCTAAACTAAATGTTTACTCGTTGATTTGAACTTAAATAATAAAATAGGAAATTTGCCTTTTTGCATTATGCACGAGATGATCTATAATAGGCAGCTTTCTATTCCATATTAAAAGAATTTCTCTCCTCACACTCGTGCCTTGGGTTGAATTAACCGTTCATGGTTTCTTTCGCAAGTCAATCAACTGAACATTCACCAATGACTAGGAAGCTTCTTCAAAGCTAAGGCTCAAATGGTGTCAATTACAAAGATTACTTGTTTCAAAAAATTTGTGATAATACGTAAATCCTTGTCAAACACGATTTTCAGCATTTCCACGCCACCCCCGCCCCCCTCTTTTTTTTCTGGTGACTAGGGGAAAGTTTACACCCTTCCGCAGGAACTCCTCTAGAAGTAGCCACACCTATTACATCTGCAGCTAGTATGCCTCTGTTGTTCTGCTTGACATTGATTACTCATTCCTTAAGCATCCACACATCCTTTTGTAGGAGTAGCACAAGAAAACTTCACAATGCTTGCTTACAAATTACAATCAGATTTCAGGCTTTTATGAACAACAGATGAAGATGGTAATCATAGAGAAGTGGGCAAACTGCTCCATACAACTATTGTTAACTCCACGAGTAGCGCCTGAGGGTATTTGGGATTTAAACATCTGAAGTACTTATTTCCTCACAAAGTTAATGACGCAGACAGCCAAGATACATAATCAAGCTACAATCTGTGCAAAATCAACTGAGCTCCAAACTGGGGTTGAAGCGTTGCCATTGCCCGAGGAGCATGAGTATAAGATGGCGAAAGCTCAAAGGAAAAGCGTTGCAGAATCATAGTCATTGCCAGTTTTGCTTCCAACATAGCAAAGTTTTGGCCAATGCATATACGAGGTCCCCAACTAAATGGGAAGAATGCGAATTGGCCCTTTGTTGCCTTTGAGACTCCATCAGCAAACCTCTCTGGTTTAAATTCCTTCACATCATCGCCCCATATTTCAGGGTCATGGTGCAGCAACATTACCGGTAATGATACCAACAGTCCAGCTGGAAGAGTTAAATTACCCAATCGAGTTTCTTCAGCAGCTCTTCGAAAGAGTGCAGTCACTGGTGGGTAGAGTCTGAGAACCTCGTGCAGTATCATGGTGATCTATAACAAAAGATAAACGCACTCAGACTTTACACTGACCAGATCATACCATAGAGTTAACTTCCAATTTTGACTAACAAGTGC